TGGTCCCCATACTGATGTATAATATAAGGTGCCTTCTGGTCCCCCTACTGATGTACATTAAAAGGAGTCATCTAGTCCCCCTACTGATGTACAATATAAGGTGACCCCTAGTCCCCCTACCAATGTACGATATATGGTGTCCTCTGGTCTCCCTACTGATGTACAATATAATGTTACCTCTGGTCCCCTTATTGATATACAATATAAGGTAACCTCTAGTCCCCCTACTGATGTACAATATAAGGTGTCCTCTGGTCCCCCTACTGAAGAACAATATAAGGTGCCCTCTAGTCCCCCTACTGATGTACAATATAAGGTGACCTCTGGTCCCCCTACTGATGAACAATACAGGGTTACCTTTGGCCCCCCTATTGATGTAAAGTGTAATATTAAGTGTCCTCAGGTCCCCCACTGATGTTCAATATAAGGTGACCACAGGTCCCCTACTGATGTACAATAAAAGGTGACCTCTGGTCCCCCTACTGAAGTCCCCTACTGATGTTAAATATAAGGTGTCCTCTGGGTCCCCTACTGATGTCCCCCTACTGATGTACAATATAAGGTGACACCTAGTCCCCATACCAATGTACGATATATGGTGTCCTCTGGCCCCCTACTGATGTACAATATAAGGTTACCTCTGGTCCCCCTACTTTAGCTAATGTACAATATAAGGTTGCCTCTGGTCCCCCAACTGATGTGCAATATAAGGTGACTCCTGGTCCCCCTATTGATGTAGGATATAAGGTGTCTTCTGGTCCCACTAATGATGTACAATATAAGCCTTTCTCTGGTCCCCTTACTGTTGTCCCCTACTGATGTACAATATAAGGTGACCTCTGGTCCCCCTACATATGTAGAATTAAAGGTGGCCTCTGCTCCCCCTACTTATGTACAGTATAAGGTGACCTCTGGTCCCCCTACTACAGCTTATTGATCTAAAGTGTAATATTAGGTGTCCTCTGGTCCCCCAAATGATGTACAATATAAAGTGACTCCTGGTCCCCCTATTGATGTACAATTTAAGGTGACCTCTGGTCCCCCTACTGCTGTACAATATAAGGTGACCTCTGCTCTCCTACTGATGTCCCCTACTGATGTACAGTGTAAGGTGAACTCTGGTCCCCCCACTGATGTACAATTTAAGGTGACCTCCTTAAATTAAGGTCCCCCTACATATGTAGAATTGAAGGTGACCTCTGGTCACCCTACTGATGTAGAATATAAGGTGTTCTCTGGCCTCCTTTCTGTTGTCCCCTACTTATGTACAATATAAGGTGTATTCTGGTCCCCCTACATATGTAGAATTCAAAATGCCCTCTAGTCTCCCTACTGATGTACAGTATAAGGTGCCCTCTGGTCCCCCTACTGATGTAGAGTATAAGGTGACCTCTGGTCCCCCTACTGATGTACCCTTCTGATGTAGAGTATAAGGTGACTTCTGGTCAACTTAATGATGTATTATATAAGGTGACACACTGGTCCTTTTACTGATGTACAATATTAGGTGTCCTCTGGTCCTCCTACTGATGTACAAATAAGGTGTCCTCTGGTCCCCCTACTGATGTACATTAAGGTGTCCTCTTGTTCCCTTACTGATGTACAGTTTAAGGTGACCTCTGGTCCCCCTACTTATGTACTATACAAGGTGACCTTTGCTCTCCCTACTGATGTCCCCCTACTGATGTACAAAATTAGGTGACCTCTGGTCCCCCTACTGATGTACAACATTACTTGTTCTCTTGTCACCTTACTGTTGTCCCCTACTGATGTGTACTATAACGTTACATGGAATAAAATCATAGGGGAGACCACAGGTCACCTAACGTAATCCATAAATGTTAAACGCTTATATATCATATATCGCATAAAATTGCAGTTAATGTTGCTCAGCACCCACCCTCCACCCCCTCTATCTTTTCTAATACCCATCAGATGGTTATTCCTTTTAAAAAGTTGTTTGTTTTACACTTCAAAGGTTTCACAGCATTACGATTTATTCTATTTTCACTTTACGTATGCAACGCACTACATTTTGTAGCGGAGTAAACAGGCCCGATAGTCGTGAACTGAGCAGGGGACCTCAGGTCCTAGTTCAGCGTACGTTTTATCCTTCTGCTTACTTATACAGCAATATACCTTCATCACCTGCATACGGAGTATATATATCTCATTTGATTCGATACGCAAGAGCATGCTCTACGTATGAACAATTTCTTAAACAAGGTAAATTATTGACAAGCAAGTTGATGAAACAATAAAATCAGCAGAATCGTTTAAAGTTATCATTTCGTAAGTTCTATTGCCGATATAATGACCTTGTCAGCAAATACAATTTATCATTGAGTCAAATGCTGACTGACGTTTTTCATACCAATTGTCAGTCCATTATTTATACACTGAATTGACGACGGATTTTTTTCCCCGTTACTTCCTGATCATGATAACGAGCACACGGCGGGTGTGACCGGTCGGCAGGGCATGCTTACTCCTCCATGGCAACTGATCCCACTTCTGCAAACACGGAGGTCCGTGTTTGCTCTGCTCTTATTTTGTATATTGTTTAATGGACTTTGAGATTGAATACTGTACGTTATCTCCATATCCTTTTTGAAAGACCCTTTTGTCCGAAAACCAATTTCCAGCTGTACAATGTGCACCCTTTTTGCCAAGATATGAAATTCCTTTGGTCTGTGAGGTTGTCACAGGAGTAGTCCCCCAGTTACAAATCAAATAACAAACAGTCATTGAATCTCATATTGCCTAGTAATAATCATGTGCCTTAGTGTCCATAACGAATCCACTCAACATCCGGTTGACCTAGTTGTGTGGAACAATTTTCAACCTATTGTATGCTGCTAATTTAAAGGCATGGTTATCTATATTAAGCATTATTATGGATGTTAATTTATTTGTAACAATTAACCATGAGTGGAATTCATAAGCTTTTTATTGCTTTCATTTTTTTTTTTACAGATTTTTCTAAAGAAACCTCCTGCAGACGCCATACTGTCTGCTTTAGCACGCTCTTCTAGCGTCATACGCAGCATATGGAGTAACTTCGTCATATCATGATGTAAAGAAAATTTTATTATGGTAAATATATAGACCAATTATTTTCTATTATACAATAAAATCAGAAATATGACACCCCTACTAATGTTATTGTGATTGAAATTCAAGACACGTGGTTTAGGTTTACTTATTCAAAGGTTATAGGGTAGAACCGGTTATATAAATAAAATTAAGTAAAATTAAGCAGTAAACAGGAAATTGTTATAGTCTGTTTCTTCTGAAAACATGTCCCGTGAAAAATGTGTTTCCAGACCTTTCTGAAAAACTTTAATGATTTTCAACAGAAATGGGTGGCTTAAGGGGGGTGGGATGGGTAAATAACAATTAATACATCTTATTATAGTTTACAGCTCACTAGCGACCTATACGCTGGTGTTTACAATATCATCTACACTGACAAACCTTTGTTTGCCTCATATGGCTATTGCTATTAATGCGCACAGAGGGTCTTACCACGAGCAACTGACCAATTGTTGAAAGAATAGCAACGTTTACGCCAAACACTCAGGTTAATGAATGATCATTTCAATGGAGTGCAAAATAAAAAAATGTTCTTATGAACAATATGCAAACATTAGAAACAATGAATGATATCACGGGCGTTTTTAATTTGTTATTAACTAGAGAAAAATTATTTGATAAAATGTATAGGTCAGCTGTACGTGGTTTGTGTCAAGTTCAGATCAGCAACACATCAAGAGTAAGGAAAACGAGCAGATTCTCGTATGCATTTAAACGGACACAACATTTCTTACAGAACTATACTCGTGATTACGTGTGTTGGCCAGGGAATCCACCTGACAGTTGTATTCACCGATATTACAATAAAGGAATTTATCAAGGTTAGCGTAAAATTCCTGTAGTATTCGTAGTAACCCATAATGCATTTCTCATTCATCTGATTTGTCAGTTAAAGTCACATTGGTGCCTCATTTGCTAACCTGACGCCAAAAAATATAGTCCCGGTTCCCATGCAAAATAGTTGTCCAAAAAGAAATTTTAATTCACGACAGCAGAAAATTGTATCATAGAAAATACTAGTACACTTAATTTAAACTTGAATGAATTCAAGAAAGATCTATTGAAGTGTATTTCTACAGAATGATATTATAGGGTAGTGAAAACTAAAACGCAACCTAACTTTTCTGTTTACCATGTCTCCACAAGCTAGTCACTTCCTAGCCACATTTCCGTGAATAATTTACCCTGTCTCGCTGTAGTCTCGCTTAGTCTCGCCAGAGCCACTTCCAGATCTACTCTGAACTCATCCAGTTTTATAATTTGCAGAACACCGAAAAATAAAAGGTTCCGAACACATTAGTAGGGATGTATGAGGTATACATGAAAATCATATTTACTCTCATACCAATCTAATTCTCATTAAAAAAAAATTCTGAAGCGTTGCTTTTTAAATCTGTGCTTGTAATATAAAACGCATCCATCAACAAGAGTTATCTTTCCATTATCGCCAATTGTACAATAGAATAAATCCGATTGAATTGACTATAAAATGGTTCTAACAAATGAAATTTGTAAATCTGACATGAGAATTCATAGCATTTCATGGAAAATGTCTTCAGAAAGTCACCTCTCTTATCAGAGGGATATTACACCTTAAAAAATAAATCGTGTAAATCACGTTATCTTCATTCAAAGTAATGAAATGAAAAAAAAAGGATTTTTTTTATACAATGAACAATCAAATGTGAAAAGGACCAGAACTCAATTAAATGAGGTTGACCATGAAAATGGAACGCAAACATTGTTTCGGACATACGTCCTACAAAGAAAACTGCATTATCTTTCATGTAACTGTCCTTCATTGAGTCAATATTTCACCTGAATCCTTTATTTTCACTATCAAATTAGATCTTTTAACTGTTGTTCCTGCGTCGAAGAAGCTTTAGTTTCAAGTCTTATAAGCCTTACTCAATTTCAGGTGTAAGGAGCTGTTCAGTATCACAATGATTTTCAAGCTCTAATTCGGACGTGGCATTCTGCCTGGTCTCAGAAATAATGTCCTGACACACAGGTTCAAATAAATTTTTGAAATCCTCCCAAAAGAGATCATATCCCCACGCTTCATCAGGATAATCCAAACTGGAATTGTAATTCAAAATAATCAATAATTCTTCTGTGAGTTCGTTTTTATTTACTCCTGGAAATAAAATGATATGAATAAATCTATAATTTTCTCCCCTTTCTACACCAATATCCATCGCGACCTTGAGGTCAAATTTCCACATTCCAGATGTCAAGTACTCTTCAGTAACCAAACATATTACACGTCTGCTTTTTGCCATGCCTTCTGTTACAATATTGTATTTGTTTCGCCCAGCCAGCTCTGCATCGTTACGACCTGGGATGAAGAGTTCAATATTTAACTGAGTTTCAATATGTTCGACTATGTCGCCTGTAGCAAACTGATACATATCATGATTTTTACCGTCATAATAAGAAATATATGCTTGATAGTCGTATGAACTTCCTACTTGCATTGCAGAAGTTCCACGTTTCTTAAATACCTTCTTGGCTCTGAAGATTAGATATAAAATCTTCCATTTTAATTTTACCATTGTAACACCTAGAACCATGCTTATTAAAAAAGCAATTGAAACAGATATAAGAATATATATCGACAATAAAGACCTACACTTTTCTCTCAAAGTACCAACAGACGAAACGGCTTCAGAAAAATTGAATATTTTAGAACTTGCCAAAGAGCACTGATATAATTCAAAGTGTTTAAAATGTATTCTATATGTAGTTATCCAGGATAGAAACTGCAAATTTTCGCATGAACATGAAAGTTTGTTGTCAGATAAATCAACTGTAAGCTTGGAATTTAAAAAAAGGGTTTCAAACGATCGCTGCTGAATAACGTCTATTGTTGTAAGTCTATTTTTAGCCAATTTTATGTCTTTTATATTTCTCATGTGATCCATTTTCACGCGCCATTCAGAAAGCAGGTTACCATTTAAATTCAGAACCTGAAGGTTTTGAAGATTTTTGAACATTAAACTTGGCAACACGTTAATATTGTCAAATGATAAATCCAGTTCTCGCAAGGAATATAGATTTTCAAGTATTCTTCCATCACTGTCATCAATTATATGTTTTCCGATATCGTTTCTAGACAAATTAAGAATTTTCACCCCTGTTGCATATTTGAAAAATGATTCGGAAATGTATGAGCAGAAGTTATTGGAAAGATCTAAAATTGTTAAATTCTGGATTCCGTGGATAGGTCCTATCCAAGAATAGAAAAAGTTATTTTGTAGATATACTTCCCTTAAATTTCTCGAGGTAATTCCAAACTCTGGAATAGCTGAATACAATCGACTTGAGTTTGCATAAATAATTTCCAGTGACTTAGGAAAGTTAACAATTACAAATCCTTTGTCCTTTGTACGGAAAAAAGATTCATCAATAAGCTCAACGTCTTTGTAAATTGTTGTATCTCTTTGAATTTTTTTTTCCGAAAAAGGAAACTCGCAGTTGTCATCCTTTTCTTTACAATTTTCAAATATTGACATCGGATACGGCGCTGGCCGAAGTTGGACACTGATATTAAAGATACGAACACTGTCCATGGAGAAGTAATCTAATATGTATTTCCCCTGAGTCAATTTATTTTCTCCAACTGAAACTTTTTTTAACGTTTTGGGAAGAACTTTCATTGCACCTGCTTCAAGCTGCTCTAATCGGTTTTTTTCAATGTAAAGCTCGGTTAGATTTGTTTCTTTTAAGTTAATAAAATGACGCGTGAGGATTTTTGTTCCTATTCCGGTTAAACAGTTTATACCATTTAATCTTAAAATTTCTATAGGTGTTTGGTTAAGATTTTTTGTAATGTTTGGAAGTGAGGCAAATCCTATTCTCTTGTTATGGGATAAATCGAGATATTGAAGAAATGAGAGATTTTCAAACGCACCATCTTCAATATCTAGGATATCACATGCTGAGACATCAATATATGTCAAATGAGGCAAATACTTAAACAAATCTTTTGAGAGTTCATAAAATGAACAATTTCCCGTGATTCCGGATAAATCTAGATAAATTAACTCTGTTAATTTCAAGAATCCTTTCTCAAATGATATATTTCTTGGGCCATCAATTTTCAAAATTCTCAATGCAGTTAACTCTGAAAATGCATCATCACGAATCAGAACATTATCTGATGGATTAGTATTTCCTTTCAAACTTATTTCTATCAATGACTTCAGATCTGGAAAAATTCCTTTATAAAACTGTGAAATATTTATGTGATTATAATCCAAGTTCAATGTTTTTAATTTTTGTAATCCGTGAAATGAAAAGTTGTTCAACCTTTTAATTTTGTTTCTCGAGAGATTGATATACTCAACATTCTTTGGAAAATTATTTTCAATTTTTTCAATAAGATTGTCACTCAGATCGATCCAGGTACTGTTTTCATAAAACTTTGGAATTTTAAACAATTCCTTGTGGGAGCAATCCACTTTCGTTTGGTTCTTTAGGTCTTGGCAAGTGCAATTCACTAATCCCAAGTCACAAATATAAGATCTCGAAAAGGTGATGGACAATAATATACAAATGATTATTCCATACACATGTAATGAGCAAAACATATTCAAAGTAAATCCCATGATAATGTTTCCAAAATATCTAGATTTGTGATTTTGCTTTTGCAATCCAAAATTATTGTCTTAAATCAGATTTTTCTCTTTCAATTTATTAATTATGTCCATAATACGCAGACATGATTAATCTTTAACTGGATTAAAGTAAGTAGAATCGGGTTGTTAAATATTGCCAATGTGTACATAAAAATTAGTTTCTTTTATAATAACATAAATTATAAAGAAGGGACCTATATATATATCTCTGTGCTAAAAGATAAATAGTTCCTGACCTTTGATGCCATGCATATTCATATTCATCGATTTGTTGTTCGTAAGATATTTATGATGTCATTCCCCATTGAGTCAACATATGTAAACAATACCAAAAGCACAATTTGTCCACATTTCCCACAAAGAATCCAGTTGATTTGCATCTTAGATAAAGATTAACAATGGTGTATTGATCATAAGCAGTGGTTAATAATGTTGCAATGAACAAAACATATACAAATATTTTATTCAGATTGAATTGATTTCAATTGCCGTCTATTAATTATTTGATATGCATTTACAAATGGAATGACAAGTATAGAATTTAAATAACCGTTGAATCGATTTTGTTATATGGATTACATGCTATCAGATTCATCGTTGTTGTTTTTTTTTTTCATTCTATATCTTGACTAATGATGTCTAAAAATAAATGTTATGAAATTTCAACCTTTAAAAATGCTATTTTTTTTCTACATAAACGTTTTTGATATTGATGCATATTATGAAATGTATCGATCTTTTAGACAACATCTAGGCTTACAATCTATAATACTTTGAATGTATTTGAAAATATATAGTCATTGTGTTAAAAAATTGATGAAAATGTAAGTGTATTAACAAGTAGAGGGAAATTTAATTTCTTTTAAGAAGCATATGGAAAAACACACATAGACACATATGAAAATTAAATACACACATAAGATTATATTTGCACGAGGGAGTCTTTTTTGCACTTTACATTTAAAAAAAAAAGTAAATTCAAGTCATTTACATTTTTGCATCATGTTTGATATTATTGAAACTTTCGGCAATCAACAATGTCATTTTACCATAAGTTGTGTTCCTTAGCATTTATGTACAATTGCCAATGCCAGTTTATTTTGACATAATAACTAATTTATGAAACTTCTTGTTTATTAACATTTTTATGTACTATTGTAATTCCAACTCACATTTATTGCACTATCGCAGTATTTCGAGAAACCGCCTTCACTCTTCATTCTCATAAACAACAAGACATTAAGGTATGTTGCACTTTGCCACTAATGTGACTTTAATTAGAGAACATACTTGTAATTAATTATGAAATGATTGATCTTAAAATCCATAAAATTATCAATAAACAACTTTTTATCTGTATCAAAAATTTACAACAGAATGAAACCGAATTATGAATATGATTAATATGTAAACCGTGATTACATAATATATGATGTAATTGATTACATGATATGTCAAACGTTCTTGTGGTCTGAAACCGCCAAAAACGACTAAAAACACATTAAAAAAACAAGAAAATAAGATAGACAAAACTTGAAAACCTTAAAAAAAAGAAAAAGGTGGAGGGGTGGAGGCGGCTAAAAATAATCTGAAGCTATCCAACACACGTGTACTTTTCACGGCGTCCTAAAAGAAACTGAGAAGTGACGCTATCTGGACGACCAGGTCCTGATTTTAACCGCGCACGATTTTCATTGGGTGTTAACTAAACGTTTTCATTTCGAAGAATCGCTTGCATCTGCCTCTCCTTATTTGGACACGGCAAAAACTTTCCAACGATATGGGAAGCTCGATAACTCTTACACGCAGAGCATTCCAATGTACATGAAATATTTTAAGTAAAATTTAAAATTCATTTTAATTCAATTAAAAAAAAGACGGTATTGGCCGATTAACTTTTATAAATGACGTTTTAAAAGTAATTTTATTTTTCAAACTTTCATTTCCTTTAAAATAGAATAAAACTGAAATAAAGTCATCCAACCCACAAAGGTTATATCGTTAGCTGATTTTTTCAAAATTTATTTTTAAAGACAACTGATTTCTGAGGGGTAACTAAATATGTGTCTATGGAATAACCGTGTGACAATTTTTTTTCAATTATTTTTATTCCGCAGTCAGAGAAATCTTTAAATGAACATGACTGACAACAATAAAAATAATTAAAAAAAAATTGTCACATGGTTATTCCATAGACACATTTATAGTAACCCTTATAACTCATTAAGTTAACGGTATAACCTTTGTCGGTTGGATGACTTTATTTCAGTTTTATTCTCATTTAAAAGAAAAGAAAGTTTGAAGAAGAAAATGTCATTGTTAATGAGCCAATGCAGTCTTTGTTTTTTTTAAAATTGAATTAAAATGCTAATGAACAACTTGTGGAAAAATGACATTGTTGAATGCCGAAAGTTTCCATAACATTAAACATGATGCAAAAATGTAAATGACTTGAATTTTATTTTTTTTTAAATGTGAAATGCAAAAAAAAAAAAGACTCCCTCGTGCAAATATAATCTAATATGTGTATATAATTTTCATATGGGCCTATGTTTCTTTTTCCATATCCTTCTTAAAAGAAATTAAATTTCCCTGTACTTGTTAATACGCTAATACACTTACATTTTCATCAATAGTTTAACACAATGACTATATATTTTCAATTATATTCAAAGTATTATAGATTGTAAGCCTACATGTTGTCTAAAAGATCGATACATTTCATAATATGCATCAATATAAAAGTAGTTTTTGTAGAAAAAAATGGCATTTTTAAAAGGTTGAAATTTCATAATATTTTTTTTTTAGACATCATTAGTCAAGATATAGAATGAGTAAAAATAACAACGTTCAATCTGATAACATGTAATCCGTAGAACAAAATCGATTCAATGGTTATTGAAATTCTGTACTTGTCATTCTATTTGTAAATGCGTATCAAATAAATCATAATCGGCAATTGAAATCAATTCAATCTGATTAAAGAATTTGTATGTATATGTTTTGTTCATTGTATCATTATTAACCACTGCTTATGATCAATACACCATTGTTAATCTTTATCTAAGATGCAAATCAACTGGATTCTTTGTGGGAAATGTGGACAAATTGTGCTTTTGGTATTGTTTACATATGTTGACTCAATAGGGAATGACATCATAAATATCTTACGAACAACAAATCGATGAATATGAATATGCATGGCATCAAAGGTCAGGAACTATTTGTCTTTTAGCACAGAGATATGTATAAGTCCCTTCTTTATGATTTATGTTATTATAAAAGAAACTTATTTCTAAGTACGCATTGACAAGATTTAAAACACCGATTCCACTGACTTTAATCCAGTTAAAGATTAGTCATGTCTGCGTATTCTGGACATAATTAATAAATTGAAAGAGAAAAAAATCTGATTTTTAAGACAAACGATTTTGGATTAAAAAAGCAAAATCAAGATTAATTGGACATATTATCATGGGATTTACTTTGAATATGCTGTGCTCATTACATGTGTATAGAATAATAATATGCATACTAAATTTCATTACCTTTTCGAAATCTTATATTTGTGACTTGGGGTTGGTAAATTGCACTTGCTAAGACTCTAAGATTCAAACGAAAGTGGATTGCTCCCACAAGGGTTTGTATAAAGTTCCAAAGTTTATGAAAACAGTACCTGGATCAACCTTGGTGATAATTTTATTGAAAAAATTGAAAATAATTTTCCAAAGAATGTCTACAATGTTATAAAGGAGTGTTTCAAGATCTGCATTCATGTCCAATTCACTTAATCAATTCGATATTGTCGACATCGCAATGTTGACAATGTTGATACGATATCGTGTTTACATTGTCAACATTGTTATCATTTCTACATGACGATATCATCGACGTCGATATCGCAATGTTGACAATGTTGATACGATATCGCATTTACATCGTCTACATTGTTAATATTTTTACATGACGACATCGTCGACATCGCAATGTAAACAATGTTGATACGATATCGCATTTACATCGTCTACATTGTTATCATTTCTACATGACGACATTGTCGACGTCGACATCGCAATGTAAACGATGTTGATACGTTCTACACTCCAGACTTAACCACAACTCGACAAAATCGCACCCCACTCTATACAAAATAGGGTTATTCTCGCACCCCAATCTATACAAATACACAACTCTACTAATTAGGGCTAGTCTCGCACAGAACTCTATAATAATTAGGGTTAGTCTCGCACACAACTCTATAATAATTAGGGTCAGTCTCGCACACAACTCTACTAATTAGGGTTAGTCTCGCAGACAACTCTATAATAATTAGGGTTAATCTCGCACACAGCTCTATAATGATTAGGGTCAGTCTCGCACACAACTCTATAATAATTAGGGTCAGTGACGCACACAACTCTACTAATAAGGGTTAGTCTCGCACACAACTCTATAATAATTAGGGTTAGTCTCGCACACAATTCTAATAATTACGTTTAGTCTCGCACAAAATATAATAATATTATGCGTCCACATGCGACTCGGTATTTTCCAACTGGTTTCAATAAGTCATTCAAATCCATAATAAAAGTATACACATTCCCTAAATAAATAACGTAACTGACACAAAACAAATTAATTGAAATATTTTCCAGTACAATTTGTCGTCACTATAGAAAAATTTATTTCTGACGTCACGTTTACGCCGTAACGATGGCAACGACGTTAAAAGCTACACACTTTAACGTTATTGCATGAAAACAAATTTAGGAAGTGGAAGGATGTCTGCATTTGTGCATCGAGACAGAATTTAAAATTACTACAAGGAAACAATTAATGATCCATTCGATGAATTAACAAATGAAATGTTGCATAATACTGCAGTGTCGAACAGCGTACCGATGGAATTTTTAATTCCTCCTTTTCTTACTGGCATCGCGCATTTCCTTCACAAATCGGAAAT